ACTTCCCTTTTACTGCATTTAAGACATGAGCTGTACTTTCCCACTGACCTATAGATGCCACCTGGTATGTTTCCACTTGCCAGGGTTGTAAGCAGTTTGTTAGCTTTTATAAAATTCATAACATTCCTTACTCCATTCTGTGAATGGTCCTTAAGTATGATAGTACTGCGGGGGTGTGGTAGTGGTGTGGCAAGATGATAGGTTAATTAATTCTGAGGTCACCGCCTACACAAATTGGCTGAGGCAGAGGTCTGTCTGAGATGAGGTCTCTGCAGAAATACAACATCGGCTCCTCAACATTATATAATATTGTTACAAATACCTGCTGTAGTCTGTGACTAGCCAGGAGACTGATAGCAATATCAAACTGGGGGCAGTTTTAAACAACATCACTAGAACACTGTTTAAACAAATTATGGGGGACATGGTTCATTTGCTATATTATAGTGAGAGTCAACCTCATCAGAGCAGAGCAGATAACACCTCCATTTAAAGCAGGAGTAATGACTCTCCCCCTAGGGTTAGCAACTCTGCATCATGAAGTCTGAATTTCAGGGTTGGCAGAAATTATTCACCCCCATATCGCTAGTCTGGATTTCTTATTGAAAAATGGTGGGGGTGTAGGTCTCCCAAGAAATAGTCTTACAGTGCTGAATGTTGAAATTATGACAAGTCCTGAAACTGACTCGAACACCACATGGTGTAACTGGTTGGTAACGAACAGAGAAGTGATCATATACCTGTATACCTGCAGTCTAAGTGTTGCTTTTGACACTCTTTTTAGATTTTGTTTATCACGACATTGTACTCTCCCTCCTCGAGACTGATTGGAGTTTATGACATTGCTCTTAAATGGTTCAACGTTCACTGATTGCCAATGCTTTTTGTCTCTTAGTTCTGTTTGAGTTCTGAAGTTGGGGGTTTGTCAAGTCTGGTGTTCCCCAAGGCTGTATACTTGGTCCCCTACTATTCAGCATTTACATGTTCCCACTGGGCCAGCTATTAAGATCACAGGGTCTAAAATATCAGTTCTATGCTGATGATGAATATACTTCCATACTAAACCAGACACTGAAGTGGCTGTTTCTACTCTCTCTACTTGTATCTCTGACATAAAAACCTGGAAGAATCTGTTAGACCCTTTTCTCAGTAAACCACATGACTCTGGTCAATCAAGCTGGAGATTTCTTTATTGTGATAAAAAAAGTGGACAGACAAAGTTATCAGGTTAACCTCATCTCTCTCTCACTTTCCTAAAGACAGCAACAGGCTTTTATTCTTGAAAATTAGCTAATTTTCCATACAAAACATACATCTATACGTTGAAAAAAATCAAAGAACAAATTTCATTCGATCACTTCTTTTCTCTTTGTCGGCTTCATCAAAGATCAATATAGTTAACGCATGAACTAATCGTCTTGCCCATTTTTGAAGTATTAGCACTCTATGTTTCTGTAGTGTTACCCATCAACTCTGTTACAGATAAAACTTCCCAGTTTTATCTGAAGGCCTACCAAGCTCTGATCCGCACAGTTTGGACACTAATTCCGCGATGAAATGTTCTCTTCCTTATTTGAATACTGCGACCTCGTTGCTCACATTTCTGTTTTATCTTTCGAAGTTGCACCGTCTGTAGGGGTAAGAAAAAAGAGCATTAAGGACTAGGAAGCAATACTGAATATTCTAAATTGCCAAAACTGAGACACCGATTAAATCAGGAACTTTTAATTAAAAACAATTACTTCTTTTGAAGGAGTTAAGTGATGTGATCACCGTTTCCAAAGTTCAGATTTGTTTGGGTAAGATGTAAACTTCTGGCGGTGGGATCTATTCCAAAATGCAACGTGTTTTGTATAGAACCTGTGGCAACACCATAACCCTGATTACTCAAGCTAATTTCTTTGCTCTGGAATTGCTCGCCCGGTGTTTGCGGATTTAGAGCCAGGGCTGAGAAAAGACATGATGAATGCTTTGCCAGACGCTGCTGAGATTTTGAGCAGTATTGGAAAATAGTTACCTGTAATGATCTCATTTTCCGCACTAACATTTAAAAGCAGAATGCAAGCAGGAGTAGAAGAAATAATATTGTGTTTGAACGCTGTATTCTGAGTGAATTGTATCTTTGTGTTTGGATTCGGGAAGCTGCTGCAGTAAATCAAATGGGTCCTGTTTTGCTTTCCTGTTGTACTGAGAGGTCTTTACTGCGACACCCTGCTGTTGTGTGTGTGATACCAGAGGGCTGATCATTATACATCTGAGAGGTGAATCAAATTCACAAGAGACTGGCTTTGCTGGTTTAATGCACCCAATATATTCCCGTTATTCTCTAGACCTCACCTCTGTGACTATGGGGGCGATATGAGGATGACTGGCACCCTTCTGATTGCCTCTCCATTTTGACGTTCTGCACGCTTCAGCTCTGGATTCAGTGGTACACTGTGATGTGCTCTGCTACACACTCGCCCTGTTATCTTGAAGACTCGTGCTCTCTCTGACGACATGCAGCTATTCACAGGGCCGGATTGTGGTGTTGGCAGGCCTGCAGGTGTCCAGCAAAAGGAGACACGATCCGGGTGTGAATGAGGCAAACATTACCTTTATTACATGTGCACGTGGGAGCCAAAGCCGATGAAGCACCGACTCAACTCACTGATACAAAAGGACGCTTTTTATACAAAATCACACAGAAAGCCCACCCAGAACAGTTCCAGTACAGTTCCATGCCATATACTGTATGGTGTAAAGCCAAGGCTGCTAGCCTTGGTACGTGATGAATTGTAAGAACATTCTTGGGTTCCTTTAATCATTGTTTAAGCAGATATCATGTACTTCTAGATTTTGTTAATCATGGCTTAAGCAGATATCGGGCACTCTCAGTTCTGGTCAGGCTGCCCGAGGCTGGCTTTGCCCTCACATTCCGGTGCGCAGCCGGCTCACGCTTAAGTTTCAGTTAGTTATTTTCCATTACTCTAGCAGGATAGTTAGGAAATTATTTGCACGGTAAAAGCGAACGAGTGTAATAAGGGAAATACATGTTTGATCCCTCAACCCCTTAGACAAATCAGGCGAGTCTGGCAGCTGCTTGGGCCTCCCT